TTAAATATAAAAGAGAGAAGAGCCTGCTATGTTGTTGTTTATTTTGGTAGATTTAGTTATGTTTTGTGGTCTCACAAGAAGAAATCTTTTACACAGTAGCATCTGGGTTCATGATTTTAACTTGCAGTATCTATAATATACTTTTAAAGCAAAATCGAATACTTTATTGAATTATTTTGTTTTGCTTTTAATGCTGTTGCCTCATCAAAAACGTACCAGAAGAGGTTTTAGATGGGAGCTATTCAAATCCTTTTTTATGGTTAGTTGTAAGATTCTGTTCAAAGCTCCGTCCACAAGTTTACGCCACCCATGCTCCAACATGACAATTCTCCATAAATATTCAAAAGCATGATACAAAAACAGCAAATATGTTACTCTTAGCAGTTACTATCCCATAGAAGTAAAATATCTCCTCTTTAATTGTGAACTAGGTAACTTTTCTAGTCCTTCAAGGCCCCTCCCCCGTTTGTCTCCATGGAGATAGTAATGTTCCACAGTGAAGCACTGCAAGCAGGTGACATCACTAGGTAAAGTTACAGGTTACGTAAGTTGTGAAAAGCTCTTAAAAACATATCGCAGTGCATAATTACAATGTGTTTTTATTTATTTTTTGAATGGAATGCATTTATAAAGTAAAGAATAGGTTCAGTCATCTGGCAAAGTTACAGGTTACATCTGTGGAGAGGCAAGCCCTGTCACCATAAGAATGCGTATTTTTCAAGCAATTTTACATAGTGTATTATTATGTTCTATTTTCAGGGCATGCTAAAATATGATAATAATAATATCATAATACTACAACTACTAATTACTAAATACTAAGCTGATATATTCATAGTGTTGTAGTCAAGTCCACAATAATCGAGACCAAGACCTGTCTGAAACCGAGACAAGACCAAGACCTCTGAGGGTTGAGAACGAGACAAGACCAAAACCACGGCCCATCAAGACCATCTGTCATTTTCGACATTTGTTTGTATTTTACACTTATTTTGGCAGATATATATCAATGGTTTTATAAATCTATCTGAATTTGATCTGTCTATCTTAAGTTCATTTAGGCCTAAGATAACCCAAGCACACCCACACGCTCCCTCAACCACAGTTGGAGAACCCCTTCTTTAAGAGAACTTCCATGGGCACTTTACAGAAAAAAAATAATTTTAAACCTGTTCTTTCAAGTTTCTAACTGGAATTACATTTTCTTACTGGTTTTGCAGTTGCACTTAGCCAAACACAGATGCATTTGTGCACTTTTATTGGCAACCTTCAGCCACATGTCATGGTAAGAAGTTTATTGCAGACAGCAGCGACCGTACTGAAATATGATCTTACTCGACGATTGTCAGACCTTAGATCCAAGACTAGACTGAGTCCAAGCCTCTTTAAGACTGAGACAAGACCGAGTTCAAACGCAGTCGAGTCTGAGACGAGGCTAAGACCATAAAAAAAACGGTCTGGGGTACTACGACACAATCTATTGATGTATCTAGTATTGACTATTTTGGTACAGTGCTACTATTTTTCTGCTTGTTTTACAGTCAGTAATAGGAAAGACATTTTAAATCATATGTATTTCAAAATTATATCGTACTGTGAGCCAGGCATCTTCGACTCGTGAGGGACCCTGTGATTTCCAGCCATATTCTTTATCACTAGCTCCATATTAGCGTCTGTGCATGATTTCTGGCTGCCTCCATATTAGAGCGCGCACATGTGTTTGGTTTGTTGCCGTCATACACCGGTGGGACAGTGGAGCGGTGTTGACATGAATGGCTGTCCATGCGTGCACGTGGGCAGACTGCGGAGACAGCTGCTCGGAGCACCACACAGAGGCTGTCCAACACGCGGTGACAGTCCAACCGAGCGTCAACCGTCAAATCCACCTGTCTGTGTCTTTATGTCTCTGTCTCTGTGTATGCGTTTGTGTCCACTGGGCTCAGGACTAGCACAGAGGGGGGTTGTGAAGTATGTTTGGTAGAGATAAGTGTTTATTTTGCGTCTTTGTGCTGTGCCAGCCCCAATCCTTGTGATGCTGCCTACGTCATCAGAGGTATAATACATAATACTCCCTACGACATAGCTAGACTGGACTCTACTGGAATGGACAACTCTATGACAATGTTAATTCTAACTCTTAATCTACTTCAGTTCTACAAGAATGAGTGTTTGATCTTGGAATTTTCTATACTTAAAAAAAAATTTGAACCCTATATTTTTAAAACATTAATTGCAAATCACGATCATAAATTATTGTGTGAAAAATTGACAATAGCCAGTTTCCACCCAAAAAAAAAAAAAAAGCTTCATCTTAGGACATAAAATATGTCTTTGGTTAATCATTTTCAGACAGTAAGGGTACCTTCACACACGGGTTGCACAATATGTCAAAATGAAATCAAAATTGCAATTTGAGTTGGTCCAGTTGTTCAAAGTTCTAGTTCCTATAGTTCATATTGGCATAAACACGGCATCAAAATTGTTTGGTCTTGGAATTATTTGTGATCATTTTACTTTTTATAGTTGAACAGAATTATTTCTAGTTTATTTTATTTTAGCCTCAGTCCGTGTTGCTGTATGTAAAACTGTGGTTCACATATGTGATACTGCAATAAATGCCTACAATGAATTCAGTTTAAAGCCCCATTGTGTAATTTTTTATCCAGAAAATTGTAAAGCTTTAAGATTATGTGCAGTGCTCACTCCACAAGCCTCTGTCACACCAGTAAAGATATTATAAAAGAAGCTCTCAGGGTCAATTGAGACCGTTGCATCTTCACCTAATTAAGCATCTTTTTAGTGTCTTGTTAGCATGCTAGTTGCTGGTAGCATTAGGGTGACACAAAAGTCTGGTCTGTTTTTCTTTTTTCTTTCTCCCAAAATGACCCATTATTCACTTTTAAATTAGCTAGTTATAACTTTTATTTTTTTAATTATTATTTTAACTATGTATTGTTCTTTGCAAATACACAATACCTCATATACACGTCTACACATTTTCTATTCCCTGTTTTTTGCATAACCTTTAACTGCAAATATCTCCCCATATTAGACTCATTCATCATCATTAATACTTCTACTGCGACGCAAGCCCCAGTGCTGCCTTTTCTATTTGTAATGCTGAAAGAGAATGTGTTCAGTAACCAATAAAATTCAACCCTTTTTATCACCTTATAAACAAGTGGACACAAGGTAGCATCTAAATACGTGCTTTGAGACACTCTTTCATCCATTTTATTGCAGCATCCCCCTATAAGCCGCTCTATAAAAACAATCTTGATCCTCCTTATGATGCTTCACTGATTTCTAATAAAGCTTTTTAATGTCTGTGGATCAGAATGTGCGCTGTTATCATGCTAGTTGTTGTTTGTATTAGCCTAACACTAAAGTCTGACGTCTGTAAATTGTGAAATGTGCTTAGAAAGATAAAGTTATCTGTCGGCGACTCAATTACAGCAGTTTGACTAGTACATGTTGAGGAATAAACTTGTGTCTACTGTCAAATGGTGTAAAAGAAAGTCAAAATGTCCCTACAGAGTTTTTGCTGTGACGTTAAAGCCAGCCGTCTCGGTCTGCGCTGCAACTAGTCCAAGTTTATGTTTCAGAACCTCGATCTGATTGGCCGTTCCATTGCACTTTCTCGATTTCTGAGCACAATAGAATGCAGCAGTACAAACCAATGAAACACAACCCTTTTAACCAACTTACCAAACAGCTGGGCACAAGCTAGCATCTAAATATGTGCTTTGAAACACACCCTTTTATTGACCATTTATTAGAACATGCGCTGTTAGCATGCTAGTTGTTGTTTGTATTAGCCTAACACAAAAGTATCTCGTCTGTAAGTTGTGAAAAGTGCTTAGAAACCAATAAATACAACCATTTTTACCACTGTATAAAGAGCCGGACATAAGAGGGAATCTAAATATGTGCTTTGAGACATTCTTTCAGTCCTTTTATTGCCCATGGATCAGAACGTGTGCTATTAACATGCTAGTTTTTGTCTACATTAGAGTAACAAAAAAGTCTGGCCTCTGAAACAGTTTTTACCACATTATAAACAACTGGACACAAGGTAGCATCTAAATAAATGCTTTGAGACACTCTTTTAACTCTTTTATTGTCGATGGATCAGAACGTGCGCTGTTAGCATGCTAGTTGATGTTAGCATAAGTGTAACACAAAAGAATGCTCTCTGTAAGTTGTGAAAAGTGTTTAGAAACCTATAAAATACAACCATTTTGACCACCTTGTGAACAACCAGACACAAGCAAACATCTAAATATGTGCTTTGAAACTGTCTTTCAACTCTTTTATTGGATCAAAATGTGTGCTGTTAGCATGCTAGTTGTTGTTTGTTTTAGCATAACACAAAAGTCTGGTCCCTGTAGGCTGTGGAAGGTGCTTACAAACCTATAAAATACAACAAATTTTACCACCTTTATAAACAACAGGACACAAGCTCGTATCTAAATATGTGCTTTGAGACACTCTGTCAACCCTTTTATTGTCGATGGATCAGGACGTGCACTGTTAGCATGCTAGTTGTTGTTTGTATTAGCCTAACACAAAAGTTTGGCCTCTGTAAATTGTGAAAAGTGCTTAGAAACCAATAAAATACAACCGTTTTTACCACATTATAAATGAACCGGACACAAGGTAGCGCCTAAATAAATGCTTTGAGACACTCTTTCAACCCTTTTATTGTCGATGGATCAGAATGTGAGCTGTTAGCATGCTAGTTTAGAGTAACAATAAAGTCTGACACGAGGTAGCATGTGAATATGTGCTTTAAGATGCTCTTTCAACCGTTTTATTGAAGCAGCCCTCCCATACGCCGTTCTATGAAACCAATCTTAATCCTCCCTACGATGCTTCAGTGATTTCTAATAAAACGTCTCATGGCAACAAGGCTGGTTTAAGAGCACGTTTACAGTGAGGCTAAGTGCTTGTATGATGTGTCCCACTGACTCGGCTTGTGTCTCGTCTCTTATCTGCAGATGTCCACTCTGGAGCAGGAGGGGGAGGAGGTGGTGGGCCAGGCGCGCTGTCCCTTCGAGTCCAGACAGTCCAACGTCGGGTTGTTTGCCGGTAAGTAGCGCTGAAAGATTAATCACAATCAAAATCAGAATTTGAATGGGCGTAATGAGGAAATCGGGAAGGCTGCAGTTTTTGAAGTACCGTCATTTCCTCCACAAACAACCAAATATCCTGTCTTATTGTGCGTAAAGGCGGCTAACCCTGTAGTTTAGATCTGCATAAACATGTTCTGAAAAGTGATTCTCATATTAGTTTGTCAGATAATTTTTCAGTATTTTTGTAATTTTTTCTATACATGTTTAAAATTTGAAAATAATCCTATATTTTTTAAACTTGGGTGAAACTCTTGGGTGAAAAATTTGGAATAGACAGTTTACACCCCAAAAAATATGAATGCTTCAGCTTAGGACTTAAAATATGTCTTTGGCTAATTGTTTTTGGATAGTAAGGATGCACAGTGAGCACTATTCTCACTTACGTCACAAAACTGGCAGACATTTGGAAACATGTGGATGACGACTTCCTTTGGGTTCTGTTGTCGATAATAACACTGACAAAATCTTGGAAAACTGAGAAAATGGCCTGGGTTTTGTTCATCTAGATGTCACTGTATTCTTTCTTTTTTACTTTTAGAAATTGCCTATTAATTTGTGTATTATAAGTTGTCTAACTTAATGAAAAAATAAAATAAAGATGTCATTGTAGCGTTCCGTTATGTTCGGCAGATCAACAGTTCCAACCAGCTGTGACATAAAAGATGTGATTAGATTCCCGTCCCCCATGGAAATCTTTAGCAGGTTGTGAAAACCTCTGCTGCTGAATCCATGTTTTTTTCACATGCCCAGTACATAGACTGTATATATAAATATTCTTTATACAGTCTATGGTCCAGTATCTGTAACTATACCGTAAGTTGTCATCTGCATGATTCCAAATGTCTTCCGGTAAGAGTGAATAGAGCTTATATATCAAAATCAACCCAAAATTCCAATTTAAGTCGAAGCAATTGTAGTGGTTCAAAATTGCTAGTTCCTATAAGTTAAAATTTGCATAAACATAAACACTCGCCCTTCAAAATTGGGACTAAAATAAGGCTAAAGATAAACAAGGACTTGACCGAGACGAAATTAGGATTAGAACAGGACCAAACCAAATTTCATATACCGTATTTTTCGGACTACAAGGTGCACCGTATATATATATATATATATATATATATATATATATATATATATATATATATATATATATATATATATATATTATATTATATGCATTATATAAGCGCAATATGAATAATGTTTAATTCTCTCATCTATTTTAGGATCACCAGATTATAAGGTGCATTAAGTGAAACAAACAGACGACACTTGAGACTGATCCCTTAGCACAGGTGTCCACGTAACTCGCCCATCGTTGCCTCCCTGTTTTGGTGAATGTGTATTATGAATGTGAATGTGGGTCATTTAAGTTTAGTTTTTTTTTTTTTTTTTTTCCCTACGAGAACGACTCAAATATACATTGGGTTATAATCTGTTTAATGCAACTTTGCCACATTTATGTTTTACAGAAACAAAACTTAAAACCACATGACTCATTTGCATAAACTATAAGCGCTGAAAAAAACAGCTCGTTCCTTGTGCGCTGATGCAGGTCAACTTCTGTTTGACCGTAATGCTCCGATAATCCATCAAGTGGTGCAACTTTATAGATTACCATTTTACCAATTAACATTTTGACAGATTTTTGAGCGCCACGTACCACATAAAAATGGTTCGAAGCACAACCAGAATTAATACATAAGGAGCACCGGATTATAAGGCGATGTTTAAGAAAATTTAAGGATTTTAAGTGCGCCTTGTAGTCCGAAAAATACAGTACCTAAACATCACAATATGCTGATCCTCCCTCCATCTTAGGGGGTCCTAACAAAGTCCATACATGGGCGCTACTACTCTGTGGTCACCCATGGCAACAGGCCACAGTGGCATTGTAGGCTGGTTCAAATGCAGAGACAATAAAATATACCCTAACCAAACTATATCACGATTAATATGAATTATGATTACAGTGCAAAGCCAGTTTTCCAGCAACAATAATATGGTTTATTAAAGTACCCATATTACACTATTTTCGGATCTATGTTATAATGTGGTAACTGGAAGCTCTCCGCTGTGTTTGTAAAGTCCATACTCCTTCACTAAAATCATTTGAAGCTTTGGAGATGTAGAAAGCCTAATTATTAATTCATTAAAGCTCAATATTGCATCATATCCAACCTTTAAACCATTTCACATTTTATAAAGCTTTTGATCATTCAAATTTTACTCACGCTGCACAATTTTAACCACAAAACAGTAATCACTAAGACCAAAAATGAGCGTCTGTCAGATGTATAAAGCTGTCTCACACAAGAAAGAGCTGTCAATGACGAAGACTTAGAATTAGATGGGGAAAAAAAAAAATTAAATAGTGTTTTGCTAATCTCTTGTTTATCCAGTTTAGACATTTGATAAAAGAGAGAAGTCTTAGCAAACAGCGTGTCACTTACAGCTAGAAAACAAAGCACGCGCTGACAACTTAACTAGACTTTGATTATGGCCGTGACAGAAATTAAGACGGAATAATTGCTTGTGTAATCAAATATTATGGTAATGTAGTTTATATGGATGCTGATTTATTATTGTACAAACAGTTAAGACAGATTTATAGGACAATTTGAAAATAGGAGACTTAACATTTGAGAGGAGATTGAAATATGACCTCGTAAACCAACAGAGGAATTTGAAACTACAGTGCAATATGACTTGTGGCTTTGTTGTTCCCGCTAATTAAAATAAATGACAAATTATTTTACTATTAAACTTCTGTCTGTCTGGTTTGACGATTATGAGCTTTAAGCCATGTTATAATGTTGTTACTTCCTCGAAAACAGACCTGGAGTTGTTTTGTTTCATTCACATGCTTGAGTAATCCTTTATTATTAGTCTGTCTACATCTCCAAAGCTCATAATGCTCTGTTCCACCTTGTCATGTCACGAAGAGGTAGTTTTCAAGTTAACAGCTACCTTTTACCTTTTGTGCAGGAGAGATTGGAAATTCCAGGGCTGAAATCATACAAATGATTCTAGTGAAGGTGTGTAGAGTTTTAAAACATAAGGGAGCACTTCCTGTATTACTATGTGACATCACAAGGTGGAACAGAGTGTTTTCAGTTTGAGAGAAAAACGCAACCTAAATATGCAGGGTTTGTGTGTTTGAATGAAACAAAACACAAGTTCAAGTATGTTTGTGACGAGGAAACAACATTATAACATAGATGAAAAATATGCTGTAAACAGGCTGAATTGTAGCTATTGAATTGTAAACTAACATGAGGCACTGCTCTGTCTCAAAGCTTTGACTTTAATCTGAGTATGAGGAGAAAATTCAGTTTGTTGACTGGACAAAAGTTAGTTCAACCAAACTAACTTTTGTCCAGTCGACAAACTGAATTTTCTCCTCATGGATTCTACCTGGACGACTGAGGGATTCTTCACACATCTTTTAATCTGAGTACCGTATTTTTCAGACTATAAGGCGCAGTATCAATAATGTTGAATTCTCTCGTCTATTTTCATACATAAGGTGCATCGGATTATTAGGCGCATTAAGTGAAACAAACAGATGACACTTGAGACTGATCCCTTAGCCCAGGCGTCCACGATCCATTGGCAGATCGTGGCGTAATTTGCCCATCATTGCCTCCCTGTCTTGGTGAATGTGAATGTGGGTGGATAATTTAGTTGTTTTTTTTTCCTACGAGGAGGACTTAAATATACCGTGAGTAATAATGTGTTTAATTCAGCTTTGCTCACATTTGTTTATGTTTACAGAAACGAAACTTAAAGCCACATGGTTCATTTGCATAAACTATAAGCTCTGAAAAAAAACAGCTCTGTTCTTGTGCTCTGATGTGGTCAGCTTCTGTCAGACGTACTCCATGAGACTCCTGACTATGATAGCCGTAATGTTCCAACATTCATAAAGCAATGCGCCTTCATAGCTTACCAAAGTCGTTTCAAAACATTTTGACAGATTTTTGAGTGCCGTGTACCACATAAAATTGGTTCGAGGTCAGTAAGCACAACCAGAATTAATACATAAGGTGCACTGAATTATAAGGCTAACTGTCAATTTTTGAGAAAATTTGAGAAAAGGATTTAAGTTGGAAAAATATGGTATACCACTGCAAAACGCACTAGAACCGTATCACTGATGGCGCAAATCGGGAGCTTCACTTTTCAGTCTACCCCAGGGCAGCTGTGGGTGTAATAAGCTTACAATCACTGAGTATAAAGTGAATGAATACTGCACTAGAGAGCTCCACGGGTGTCTTGAAAGGTGCTAAATAATCCAATACATTATTAAAACCACTACTGCACCAGTGTGGCACCTGGTATTTCCATTAATACAAGTACTAACCAGGTCCCAGCATGCTCAGCTTCTCAGATCAGGCGAGATGGAGCATTGACAAGGTGATCTGACCGCTCCAGAGTCAGACTACAAGCTCGCGCGCTCTCTCATTAGCATTTCCTCTTCTGCACATATCGCTGGTGTAAGCTAACCCTGTGCTAATACCTGAGCAGCTCCAGGTCTCCTCTGACATTTGTGCAAAGTTCACACATGACGTTAATAAAGCGGCCGGCCCTGCTACATCTGCTCCAAAGGCCAACGAGAGCCATGCGTGACCACAGATGACACCAAGCATGGTCCGTTATGGATTTTTATTTCATTTTTTATTTTATTTAATTTGAGTTTTTTGCCAGTACCGATCCCCAATATCTGGCTTGCTTCTTCACCGATAACTCATATTTGCCAGTACTGATATTTAGCTTATAAAATCTATAGCAAAGCCCACAAATGTATTTTAAGTTAAAGATCACTAACTGACTTTTCCCTTTTATAAAAATAATAACCAGAATTATTTTGGGGGAAATAAAACAATTTGTTACATGTTAGTGTAAATATAGAACTATATTTTATTTTTGCCTTATTGCTCTTTTATTTTCATTTGTACTGTTCAAAACAACAAGTCTGATGCACTGAGGACAAACTGGGAGTGAAACATGGGCATGCACAGACTTTTTTAAATATAATGTTATATCAGTATCTGCTGGGAGGAAAATTAAACTAGACATAGACTGATATAATTTAGACGCAACGGAATCCAGGCACTCCAAAGAAGTAAAAGGCACATGAGGAAAAGTACAGTTAAAGGTCTTAAACGGCCAAAGCCAACATGTTTTGACCATGACTGGTCTTCATCAGGACTTAAGAGACTGATATATGTTCATTGTTCGACATATCAGACCGATATTTGAACTTTTTAGCGTATAGGCAATCGGACTTAAATCTTTAACAAAGGCCGAGATTTTATTTAGGTAAATCTGTTGCCTAAAACTTGACTATACAACTCTCTTAATGGTTTGTGGTATTAAAAAAGGGGGCTGATAGTTTATGAAATTTCAATGACATAAATTGTGAAAAATAATATCGACCCAATTTATTGGCCCAAAAAATATTGGCAGAACTTATCGGCTATCATTTGCTCTGTATTCCACACAGGCCCGTCGACAGAAATTTGGGGGCCCCGGGCAAGAAGCCTTACAGAGCCCCCCTCTAATATGAATTAATAGGAAGAAGGTCCAATTCTGGGACCCTAAAACTTCGGAACAACACACCCCTTTGTCCCCCTCCGTCTACTGCCCTGAACACAATCAGTACTGGCAACAACCATTAAAAAAAAGCCATCAGTTGATCTCTTGGAAGGAAAAAAAAAGCTCTCTGATACTGATAATGGAACTGATTTTTTGTTCATTAGATCAGTATTTACTCTTTGACTATAAAATGTTCTTTGCAGTGCATTTTACCTCCTTGAAATGTCTCAATATGACAAAATTGGCATAAACATTGTTAGATAGAATGAATAATTGGAATCGAACTCAGAGTAGGGGTACTAAAATGTTTAATGACACACCTTTTTGTATCTTTGAGCCCTGAAACCTTACGTCATGTCCCCTTTTTTTCCACGCCAACAGGTGGGGACTTCTACTCAGCCACCATGACGGACTTCCTGGCGAGTGATGCCGTCATCTACCGCAGTCTGGGAGAGAGCAGTCCAGTTCTGAGGACCGTCAAGTACGACTCCAAATGGCTCAGAGGTGAGGAGAGGCGCTCCGGTTCACTAAAAGGCCCCATTTCTGATCTACTACTTTTTATTATAATGTTTCCTGATCAAAAAACATCCCCGGAGTTGTGTTTTGTTTCATCCACACACGAATCAGTTTTGCGTAACGTAGGACCTTTAAACCCAAGGCAACCCCAAACTAGTCATTAAAACACCCGTATCTGATTCTTTTCCCCATGTATTTGATTAAAATGTGTCTTGCCCTATTTAAAATATGTTATATAAGCAGCTCTTGAGGGTCAAATAAGTCTGCTGCTTGCCGTTTTCAACTAATTAGCAAGTATTTTATTGTCCGATAAGCTCTGGTCTCTCGAGAGTGTGAAAAGCTCTTATAAACATGATGAACAGAATGCATAAGTTAAGTGAGGATAACTTTGGACCACTGAAAATATATACAATGAACAGTTTTTTCTGATTTTTGGAACAATCTGGCTTCATCACTGAGTTCTCTAGGCTCCTTGAAAACTGACTCTCATTGCTGTTGAGATGAGATGAGATGGATCTGTGATGGGTAGGGAGGGATGTGAGCAAGATTGTCCTGTTATTTTTTTGTTTTGTCTTATTTGATCGTTTCTTATGGAGTTTTTGTGTGTTTATCAATTGTTTATATGGTGTATGTTCTTGTTCTTTGAAAACGAGATCTCCAGGAGCTTTCACTGAATTCATTTAAGCCATTTTTTAAACACTAAACTTCATTAAAAGTAATAATCTTGCATTTACTCAATAATACTTTTTTATTGATGTAAAAACGTGCATTCTGAGCGTGAGTGGACTCGCCTCGCCACAGATCTGACATGTAACTTGGCCCTGTGGCGTCACCTGCTGTCTCTGTAGAGATAAATAAGTGTACATCACATACCTTGGAACATTCCAGGCAACATCATGGAGAAGCAGGTGACGGATCATCAGAAAAATTACACAGTGCACCTTTAAATTGAAGTAATGACCACAAATTTACTTGTCACTTTTGTATTTTCCGCACTATTAGGCGCTCTGGATTATAAGGTGCACTGTCATTAAATGGTTTATTTTCGAACTTTTTTCACAAATAAACCGCACTGGACTTTAAACGAAACACAACAGTTGGATGGGTTAGTGGGACTTTGTTTGCGCGTTCACGGTGACTCTGGGCTTTGTTCAGTTGTGGCGTGTAGGGAGGGTGCTGTCTGGGATCGCTGGATTGTTGGTGTGTTCGCAGTTCAGTTGTGTCTAGAAGTGGCACATTGCACTCACTTTTTCGGTTCGTTCCTTCGTTCCGTTCCTCGTCGGCGTGGAGTGATGAGTGTGTCTGCGGGTGTTTTTCGCTGTGCGGTCGCTGTCTGCTCCGTGTGTGTTTGCGTGCGCTGCGGGTGGTGCGGCTTTGTAGTTTACTGAAGTCGTGCAGGGACACCCGAGTGGATTCGTGTATAGGGCGCTCTGGATTGTGGGGCGCGCAGTCATTTTTTGATGGGGTTGGAGGCTTAAGAACGCGCCCTATAGTGCGGAAAAAACGGTAAATTAAGTCAACTTTTTAAACACTGAACTTCATTAAAAGAAACCATCTTGCATTTACTCATTAATGTTTTTTACTAACTTAAAAACTTGCATTCTGATCGTGAGTGGTCTCGCCTCTCCACAGATCTGACATGTAACTTGGCCCTGTGGCGTCACCTGCTGTCTTAGAGATAAATAAGTGTAATGACATACTTTGGAACATTCCAGCAGCATCATGGAGAAGCAGGTGACGGATCATCAGAAAAATTACACAGTGCACCTTTAAACTTGAAGTAATGACCACAAATTTACTTGTCACTTTTGTATTTTCTGCACTATAGGGCGCTCGGAATTATAAGGCGCACTGTCATTGATTGGTCTATTTTCGAACGTTTTTTCACAAATAAACTGCACCAGACTTTAAACGAAACACAACAGTTGGATGGGTCAGTCGGTCTTTGTTTGTTGCGTTCACGGTGACTCTGGTCTTTGTTCAGTTGTGGCGTGTAGGGAGGGTGCTGTCTGGGACCGCTGGATTGTTGGCGAGTTTGCAGTGACTCAGTTGTTCAGTTGTGGCCAGAATTGTCACATTGCACTCGCTTTTTTGGTTCATTCCTCCGTTCCATTCCTCGTCGGCGTGGAGTGATGAGTGTGGTTGTGGGTGGTGCGGCTTTGTAGTTTACTGAAGTCGTGCTGGGACACCCGAGTGGATTCGTGTATAGGGTGCTCTGGATTGTGGGGCGTGCAGTCGTATTTTGATGGGGTTTGTGGCTTGAGAGCGTGTCTAATAGTCTGGAAAATACGGTAATTTAAGTCAATTTTTTTAAACACTAAACTCCATTAAAAGAAACCATCTTGCATTTTCTTCGTTAATGTTTTTTATTGACTTAAAAACTTGCATTCTGACTGTGAGTGAACTCGCCTCTCCACAGATCTGACATGTAACTTGGCCCTGAGGTGCCACCTACTGTCTCCTTAGAGATAAATAAGTGTAATGACATACTTTGGAACATTCCAGGCAACAACATAGAGAAGTAGATGAAGGACCATCAGAAAAGTTACACAGTGCACCTTTAAATTGAAGTAATGACCACAAATTTACTTGTCACTTTTGTAAAAATTCGATTAGGTTAAGTTGCTTTACTCGTAGGTAAATTTGTTTTACAGATTTGAGAGACTGGTCCCACATTTCACATTTCATTCATCCACACTCTGCACAATAAACACATAAAAATACAATTACAAATAAAGTGTTACAGTGCTCCAGTGCAGAATGGTTCATCACTCTTGGCTAAAAATCACTATAAATATTAAATGTATAAAAAACAAGATTTTCCAAGACAGGGTACTAAAATCGATAAGTAAATAGACTACAAATTATTCATCAGTGTGATAGCAGCTGGAACGAAGCTCCTTTTAAAACCATTCGTTCTAAATCTTGGGACTAAAAATCTCTCACCAGAGGGAAGCAGCTGAATCTCTGAGTTTAGAGAAAGCACGTTTGTAAAAATACTAACCAAAATGTTTTTATTTGAGGTAGAAAAGAATCTGTTACGTGATTGTGGTTATGGTAAATTATCACATTTTTATACAACGCTTTTCCATTTTCAAGGCATTTCAACAGATTCATAGCGCACACAGCATACATCTGTGGGGGCTGGAATCACTCCGCCAACCTGTGGGTCAGTGAATCTGTTGTAGCACACTTTATTTGCTGAAAAACGCTCCATCAGAACATGACCAAATGACACCAAAGAGAGACAAAGAAATTAGGTGCAAAATTAGCAGTAGTTTTGGTCTCTTTTCTGGTTCAGAAATCGGTTAATGGCATCCCAAAAGGGTAAATTAAATGACTGTGTGAATCAGTTCCGAATAATGGGATTTTTTTTTTTTTTTTTCAGAGCACACCTGGCAACCCCTGCAGGCACTAGTGTCCCAGCACTGGTTCAAAATGAAGGGAAAACATGATTGTAGATCTCACATTCTTTTACTGTGCACTCACTTTGAGACGTCAGGTCAAACCCATTTTTACTATTGTGACTGAAAATGTCTTCATATAAATGTGGTTAGTGAAGTATAGTGTAAGTATAGTGATCATTAACAGTATTATATATATAGTGATAATAAACTGTATTATATTTGAATGTTTTTAAGTAAATCTTAAATATTTTTTTCCCTAGAAATAATAAACCTAGGTTAAAAAAAAAAAAAAAACTTTGAAGGACCCATATTATACTATTTTCTGATCTATGTTATAATGTTTACTCATCAAAAACGTATCTGGAGATGCGTTTTGTTTCATTCACACATGTTTAACACACAAATCCTGCATATTTCTCTCAGACAGAAAACACATAACACAGGAAGTGCTCCACTGTGTTTTTAAACTCCATACTATGGATGGGCATTCAATAAAATTTTCTTAATCGATCGTCGGGAGAGTTAACCATCGATTTTCAATTAATCATTAACGTTTTTATATTAAAATGATCATCATTATTATTACTATCTGCACTACTAATCTGCATAAATAAATTCAACTTTACAACATATAAACCCTAACCACTATAGAGCCACATCAGCCCGTTTGAGATTATAATGTGTTTAATGCAGCTTTGCGCAACTCTCACAGAAACGAAACTTAAAATCACATGGCTAATTTGCATAAACTAAATGAAGAAAAAACAGCTCTTGTGTGCTGATGCAGTCAACTTCTGTCGGACTAAAGGACATGACTCAGTGGAATATAAAATATAAGCACAGCAACCTACATTTGGTTAGTCGAGTTGAACGTAATCAATGAAATTCTTAATGATCAATTATTGATTAATCGACTAATCATGCCCATCCCTTCTCCATACACCTTCCACACTTTCACTAGAATCGTTTAGATGATTTCAGTCCTGGAATGGCCAAACTCTGCCAAACAAAAGGTAAAAGGTTGCTTCTTAACCTGCAAACTACCTTCACAAGGTGGAACAGAGCATTTTGGAAATGTGAACAGACTGAAAATGAAGGGTTACGCAAACATGTGTGAATGAAGCAAAACCCAACTCCAGGTCTGTTTTTGAGGAGGTAATAGCATTATAACAAGGGCGTAAACCAACTGATGAAACCAACTGATGGGTTACTTGTACTTAATTGTAGGTTGCTTTACTGGATAACAGTGATGTAGAAGTTTGTAGCAGATTTCCCTTTGCTTAATGGTGATGAGATATTTGTGAGGTCATGTACGTACATGTACATTTTTCCATGGAATATTGTCAGTAGAGTCGTGCTGGTCACAGCGCATGAGGAGGGCTTTGTTTGAGAGGTGCACTTGTGGTGATAGTCGCTCTTTTTCCATGGAGACTCATTATAAGGCAAGTTTAATTCAAGATGAAGCGGAGTAAGTTCCTTTTGAAAAGTTTATCAAAGTTTGGTGTGCAGCGTCTTCACTCACGCCTGCTCAAGCCGACATCTTCGGGTGCGGCCCTGTCCTGCCGCTTCCCCAATTTAGGCTCCACTAATGACATCACTCTGCTGCAGCCAATGAAACAGCGGCAGGAGTAACCCTGTCGTCATTTCACTGAATACATCTCAGAACATCTAATAAACAAAAAGTGAACTAAAACATGTTCAGTTAATACTATTTAGTTTGGAAAAACATTTGAATAAATGTATATTTTGGTTTATTAAAATAAAATGGTAAATATTGGTAGGGACTATTTTGTTTTCCCCAAATACTGGTTGTGACATGTCCCCACCGTCCCTATGGAAACCCACGCAATTGCATTTTAACATGGCTTAAAGCTCACATGAGTCAGTTTTGCGCAATGTAGGACCTTGGACGAAAAAAAATCTTTCTTTTTTTAACTGTTTATTTACCTTTAATTTAGTCCAACCATACATCTAATACAGCTACTAATCTGTTGTAGTGAGTGTACAGAGTTTTCAGTTCATGAATACACGATTGATTCTTTACTTTTACTATAACTATTGTGTTTAAAGATATACTGTGTAACTTTTTGTTTGGGGATCAGTCACCTGCTTGTTTCTATGGATCATTGCTTTGCTTGGAATGTTCCACAGAATGACATTAATCAGTTCTACCTTACATTTATTTAATTACAGTTGGTTTTATAGTTCAAAAAAATACCTAGAAAAATGGGCGTTCTGATTGTGAGAGGGGTCGCCTCACCACAGATCTGACCTGTAACTCGGTCTCCATGAAGATAGCAAGGTTTAATACCATGCTGTGAAACATTCCAACCAATGACGCAGCAATAACACTTCCATGGAGAAAAGCATTTGACGGAAACTCCAGAAACATTATTAAATTTTGTAGCATATCAATCAACAATAAAATCTAATTGCAGTACTGTAGATATTTATACTTTGAGAAGGGGCGTATCCTCGAATCTGGCCATAAAAGCACAACACTGCAGCTTCAGTAGTTGTGTTTTGAATAGCGTAATAATTGAAGCATATGTGTGTGATTGAGCAGATGTTTGAAATCAGATCTGACTGTTTCTATTAGTGTTTGAGCTGCTCCATTGGGCTACACTTACAGCTGTGCTCATGTAATCCTCATTATTATTTTGTCTGCTCGTCTCTTACACCTTTTCCTCCATTTCTCCAGGGCCTATTTTCAAAACACACTCATTTGTTTATCTCTGATCAGATGAGATGCTACCCGTTAAAAGCTCTCTACCTGATTGTTCCTGAACATCAATAAACAGAACCAGTATTTTTAATAAGAGTTTGCAGTGGTCTGAAGTTACTCCTCACTTATGCATCCTGATTATCCTGATTACTCACCACGATGAGTTTACAAGTGTACCATTTTGTGGCGACGGTAAAACTAAACCACAGCTAGCATGCTGACACGCACTTCTGGATTATCGGACAACAAAATGATTTATATTTAGATGTAGTGTCACAATACTACAGTTTCAGACTCAATTCTGATACTAAGAGTACACTTGATACTTGACACCGTTTCTGATAACACAATAATGATAAAAAATCTATTTATTTAGGCAAAAGAATGTGGTTTTCAACATTAAGCAGTGTTGGGGAGTAACGGATTAAGTGTACCGAAGTTATGTAATCAGAGTACAAATTATGAGCAACTGTATTCAGTTATAGTTACTGTTTCAGTGAGTGGTAATTGGATTACAGTTACTTTGTTGAACTAAATGGATTACACGGCGGTATTTTCCTGTTTTCACATTTTGGGCTATATCCCCCTTTTTTTTTTTTTTTTTTTTTTTTTCGGTAATTCCACTTATTGCCGGACACTAAACCAGGTCCAAACCAGGTCCAAACCAGGTCCAAACCAGGTCCAAACCAGGTCTAACCCAGGTCTCAACCAGGACTACAACAGGACTACAACAGGATTAAATCATGCTGCATGGACAGTGTCTCCTCCTCTTCTTCTATCAATAATATTTTTAATCTGGTTAAGTAAAGTCTGGGCTTTTTATTTTATTATATTAAAACATCTTATGTTACGATATCCTAGTCTTTGCTTCTCTACAGCAAATCAAAGTATTCACATTACATTACTCACTTTAAGTAACTTCATGGATTACGATACAAACTACATTTTGGGGTATGTAATCTGTAATCTGTAGGGGAATACACTTTAAAAGTCACCTTCCCAAGACTGACCTTAAATCATACTACAGTACTTTCTTTTCTATTCCCGTGTGGTCTTGTATGTGTGTAATCTCTCAGTGGTCCATGGGTGTATACTAGGGTGGTCCAAACAATGTGTTTTCTAGATTCTCTAGATTAGAACCCTGCATTTGGTTCCGTATCTGGACGACATGTTTAGGTCCACATTTTATGCAAATTAATAAATATTTAGAGGTTGCTCAAGACACTTGAAAATTGGCCGATACTATAACACAGTGTTTCCCAAAGTTTTTTTTCTGTGGACCCATATTTTAAAAGTCACAAACCTTCACGACCCAAGTCAATAGACATTATTCGTAATTCACAAAATAAAGGTGGTTTTGAGCATTACTGAACATTACTGAGGATATTTTATTGTTGACTGACTGAGTCGTGTCTCTCTGAACATTTAGTGATTACTCTTAATAACTGAACCAGCAATAAAAGGATCCATAAGTATCCTGAAGTGCACTGACTTTTCCGGATTTATCACCCTTCTTTTTGGACAATCAAGCAAGCATTTCTCAACTTTAGCTGCAAGTATACACGTGTTCAGGGCAGGCAGATAGGTTTCCCAGTTGAAAAACAATGCCGTAACATAGTGAACCAAATAAATAACGCGTATTCAAATAATTTGTCATTTTATTCTGCAAACACAAACTGAAACTTGCATAGAAATTACTTAGAAAGTCCATAAATGTTGCTTAGAAAGTCCATTAAGTTCAAGGAAACTTCATGCAGCTTGAGCGACCTCTAGAGCATTCCAAATATCTTCCTAAATAAATCTGTTGGATCCTAAAACCTAATGCAGGGTTCTAATCAAGGTTATCTGAAACTTCATTTTTGACCATGCTTTGACACCACGATGATGGATTGTGTATACTAGTCTATGTGTTTTTATACTTATTCTGATACAGCTCAAGATCATTCAAAAAAGGTTCATTTCTGTCCTTTTTAAATGTGACTTTTTTTAGTATCGATACTTGCTCAAATGAGTATCTAGTTTTTAAATTGATTAGTATCTGATTTACTTTTGATACAACCCAGTTTAGATGCTGAGAAGTTCACAGTGGACTTATTTTGACCTCAAGAGCTGCTTCTACGATATATCTGTACACATTTTGCTCAGATAGATGGAAAAACAGACAGGGCCTTGGAAATAACATTGTGCAGTTATTGACATGGGCTTTTTTTTTGCTTATTTGTTTCAGAGCCACATTTTCTTCACGCCATCGAGTACGGGAACTACGTGTACTTCTTCTTCAGTGAGATCGCCGTAGAGTACACCTCTCTGGGCAAAGTAAGGCCACGCTAACGGAACATCGGAGCTTTTTTGTCATTACTTCAAATATACACTCCATACTCTCCACTCTCAACAGTTACACAAACACAAACTGAGATACCCGAGCTCAAGACTGGTGAGAAAGGCAGAAAGCAAGTCCATTACGTTTTTGTTTTTTTTTTAAATATAAAACCTTTTCCTGAACCCTTTTGTACCTTTGTATTTCTTAGATTTTAAAACAATAGATTGGCAGTAAAAGGCAGTTCATCCATATTCACGAAATGCCTTGAGAACCATCATCAAATTATATTAAAAAGTACACAAATTTACTATAAGATGACAGTTTTTGTCTGACCAGTATTTGCAACAGTATTCTTTTAGACATTTACTAATTACACAACCATAAGTTTGGGTAGACAGTCTTATTCAAAGTTTTTATTTTTGTATATTTATGTTCCCTACTTTATGCATTGCACATACATATCCAATTAAACTTAAAACTTACTTAAAATTATTTACATTGTTGATTCTCTGAAGGCATTTGAATTATGAATGACGCATATGGAATGTAGCAAACAAAAACGAAACTCAAAATAACAAAACTTGCTTTAAATTTGAAAAAATAAAATAAAATAAAATAGCCACTCTTCACTCTGAACCCTCGTTTGCACTTTTGGCATTTTTTTTGACCCTGACATGGCACAGAGATGAAGTGAAAACCATTCCAGGAGACTTTAAGAAGCTCATTGAGAGAAGGTCAAAGGTTTTCAGCTCTTGTATATAAGTTCCATATTTTCTACATTGTTAATATTCATTCCAGTAAAACGTTTGAACCCACTTTTTCATTTATTTTAATTTACTTCTGTATTTCCATGATTATTTCCATTGTTCATTCTCAAACGAATGACGCATATGGAATGTAGCAAACAAAAAAACAAACTCAAAATAACAGAACTTGCTTTAGATTTGAAAAAATAAAATATCCAGCCTTTGCTCTGAACCTTTGTTTGCACTTTTGGCATTTTTTTTGACCCTGGTGTGGCACAGTGGTGAAGTGAAAACCATTTCAGGCAACTTTAAGAAGCTCACTGAGAGAAGGTCAAAGGTTTTCAGCTCTGTCGACAAAGCAGAGCGTGGATACTTTGAGGATTTGATTATAACATTTAAACATATTTAGTTCAGTTATGTAACGTTTTTTTGTTTTTACTCCATAATTCCATATATCTTGCTTCATATATTTGATGGAATTTGCATGTTTTGAAAATGCAAAAAGCAGAGGTGGGGATTTGCAAGTTGTGACTTAGACTTGACTCAGACTCAGTCACTATTTTTAGGACTTGAGACTTGATAAAATGGACTAAGATTTGGGACTCGACTTGGACCTGAAGCTCAGTGACTTGGAACTTGACTCAGACTTTAGGCCTGTGACTTGAGAAGGCTTGATGCTTCCCCTAAAAATATATTTTTATACGTTTCTCAAACTCCCACTTCTCTATTTATTACTCTGGATGTAACTGAAGTACTATGGTATCCTCAAATGTACTACAGCAATATAAAGTACAGTAACAATTAGGGGTGGGCGATATATATCGATATTTTAAATATATCGAGATATTTTTTAAACTCGATATGAATTCTGACATATCGTATATATCGATATAATGCTTATATTCAATTTTGATTTCGCCGCTTCGCTTGTTTACCTTCTCTCTCGTCGCCTCCGCGTCCCCGCCTCCCTGACTTTGCGCGCTCTTGTCTCCTTCACTCCTCACTATCGCCGCGAACACCGAAAGTTGGTGCCAGTGAAAAGCTTCAAGGCCATCAGCAGCACATCCTCATATTCCACAGAGTCTCGTCCTTTAGCCTGAAAGAAGCTAAACGGCATGAGCGGCACGTGGAGTGCGCTGTTTATGCAAATTAGCCATGCACTTAAGTTTCGTTTCTGTAAAATGTAAACACGTGCGCAAACGGACTGATGTGGCTCTAGAGTCGTTATGCTTTATATATTGTAAAGTTTATTTATGCAGAAGAGTTTAATTAATAATCTGTTGCAGTGTAACTTGTACAACAGTGTTTGGAATCGTTGGGTTTGATCTGCAGTGGATTGTGGGATTAAACCTCAGAGCTCCTTACTGCTGGATAAGAACATGGATCTGTTAAAATAAGGAACCTTCTGAGCTTCTTCTGCTAAATGAGCTCATGGTTCTGGCTCTGGTCTGGATAACAGAGTTAATGCAAAGATGAGCTTGTGTTGAGTTGTTTTATTTATGAATGAAAAGAAGGAAATATGTATTATTTCTTTTATTTTACAGTTAAATTATTATTTATGTAATTAGGGTTTTTTGTAATCTTAAATGTTCCTATATGAACTGCTGACCTCTTACACTTCAATAAAAAAAAGACCTTGTGGAATTTGGCAGATTTGTTTTTGCAGTTTTCAATTTTAGGGGGTTATTTTTTCTTGAACATATATCGAGATATATATCGTATATCGAGATATAGCAAAATATATCGAGATATATTTTTTGATCCATATCGCCCAGCCCTAGTAACAATACAATATAACAGAGGGAACTACAAAAAACATGATCCTTCCATTTTAGCGCAGGCTATACGACAAAATAACTGCACTTTTAAATCTTATTTCTTTCTGTTCTGACTGTAATAATTCACACTCTTGTCAAGACCTTTAAAAAGGAAACAGTAGCATTTCTGTAACTCTTATAGAAATGTATAAATATACCATGACTTTTAGCTTAAAGTTCATATAAATTTATTTGGTTCTTTGGTTTAAAGATTTGAAATGACTTGAAGCTCAAAGCAGACGACTTGGACTTGACTTGGACTTATGGGCCAGTGACTCGGGAATCGACTTGGACTTGACTGTATTTGACTTGGGACATGAGGTCAAAGACTTGAGACTTACTTGAGCCTTGCAAAACAACGACTTGGTCCGACCTCTGGTAAAAAGTAGTAAACAAAGAAAAAAACACACATTAAACAAAAGGGTGTGTCCAAACTTTTGTTGTGTACATACTGAAGATATAATATATGAGACAAGATGTATGAAATTATGAAGGCATGAAAAAAAAATCAGCCTTTGCTTTGTTGACAGTGCTGGAAACTCTCAACCTTCTCACACTGAGCTTCATGAAGTCATCTGACATGGTTTTCTCTTCACAGGGAGTTAAAAGCCAAGAGCGCTGAAGCCCTAAAGCACTGAACAAAACAAAGGGCCAAGTTAAGACGAATCAAAAATATAAAACATGTGTGGAGTCAATTCACAGTTTTTGTTTACTGCATTCCACACGTGTTCATTCACAGTTTTGATGGTTTCAGTGTCAATGTAAACAGACATGAAAACAATGAAAACCATAACATGAAAAAGCCTGTCCACTTTTGACTGCTCGTGCATTTGTATTCATCTTTTGAGTTTATTGTATCTGGCAACAAGTTTACTTCGATTCTGTATATCCACACCACCAGGCAAAAGTAAACCTTGTCCATGCATTGAATTTGTAACAATAATCACTTTTCTTTTCAAAGGGCCCATCTTACCCTATTTCAGATCTGTGTTATAATGTTGTTTCGTCATCATAAACAAACCTGGAGTTGTGTTTTGTTTCATTCACACAAACCCTGCAGAGTTAAGCTGAGTCCTTCTCTCAAACTGAAAACATGTGGTGATACAGGAAGTGCTCCACTATGTTTTTAAACTCGATACACCTTCACTAGAATCATTTGGATAATTTAAGACATCACAAGGTGGAACAGGGAAGGTTTTAGCCAGGCTTTTTCCACTTAGTGCCTCTGCTCAATTTAATTTCTCTCCAGCGACTAGATCAGGAATCAGAACACACGAGACAATTTGCAAGAAGAAGTTGTAGACCCTGCACTGGCCAATCAGTGAAGAGCTGTGAAGCCATGACAGGATCCCTTTTGTGGTACAGCACAACAGTAAACAAAGCGGTCGAGATGGATGTAGATGAAGCCAGACATTCTGTGATGGCAACGATTCCTGAGGGGAAAGACGTTATTGTCCTTCTTCCTACGGGATTTGGGAAAAGCTTAATATACCAGTTGGCCCTGTTAGTAGAACATTACATACATCATGAACAAACAGCAGCAATTTAAAAAAGTACCCGCCTACTGTCGAGTGAACGAATCCTAATGCTGCGAGGTCAGACGGTTTCCACGAAGTGAAACCGGCTGATGAAGCAGGCTAGGAATATTTAGCTTTGGAGATGTAGACAGACTAATAATAAAGAAGTACTCAAACATGTGTGATTGAAACAAAACGCAACTCTGGGTATGTTTTTGAGAAGGTAACAGCATTACAACATGTCTTAAAAGGTGCATTGTGTAACTTTTCTGGTAGAGGGTCCATCAAATGCTTTTCTTCTTTGAGATGTTATTGCTTTGTTTGGGATGTTTCAGAGTATGGTATAACCTATGCACACTAAACCAGGCCCAAGTTACAGGTCAGATCTGTGGCGAGACCTCACCCCATGCCTGTTTTTCTAGGTATTTTTGAGCTATAAAACTATTTGTAATTGAATAAATGTAAGGTAGAGCTGTTTAATGTTATACTGTGGAACATTTCAGGCAGAGTGATGACATCTCCATAGAAACATGCAGGTGACAGAGCCCCAGCCAGAAAGTTTTGAACCTTTATTTGAGTGGGTCTATGATTTCTCGAAGTATTAAAATAGAAGTTTATAGACTCTACGAGTACAGTTGGTTCACGATATCACACTGACTGTTGTGTCTCTGTTCAGGTGGTGTTCTCCCGTGTGGCTCGCGTCTGTAAGAATGATAATGGAGGGTCCCCCCGGGTGCTGGAGAGGTACTGGACCTCTTTCCTCAAAGCCCGGCTCAACTGCTCGGTGCCTGGGGACTCCTTCTTCTACTTCGACGTGCTCCAGTCTCTCACCAACGTCCTGCAGATCAACCACCGCCCCGCCGTGCTCGGAGTGTTCACCACGCAAGCCAACAGGTCAGACTGGGACACAGATGAGGATAGTAGCAGTAAGAGTAGCAGTCAGTCATCATATTTGTATAGCACTTTTAAAACAGCCAAAGCTTTCCAAAGTGCTGAACTAGTTTTTGAGTCACTGTAGTTACTTATTCAATCTGGGTTATGTGGTTGGCCTTGGTCCATCAGGGGACTAAGATGGAAATTAGCTTTGGCTACAGTCCTGCATATTTACAAGTACATGTTTGTTTTTTGCATGATTCTTGTCTTTTAATATGCGGGGGCTCTTTAATAAATAAATACAAATACAATCTTCTACAGCTCAAATCTTATCGTTATACAGAAAAATGAACCAAACATTCCTCACTGGTACAATGAAAAATACACACGATAAATGTTGATCCACGCCAAAATGTGTTCCAGCGACTATTTATTGAACCAAACTGCGCAGTGACATTTTTTTTCTTTTATCCCAGTATCCACCTTATTCCGCCATGCCCTCTTTTGTCTCGAAATGCTCTTAAACCTTTTTTTTTTTTTTTGTGGCGATAATTTCGATTAAACGGAAATAGCATTCATGTCAATTCAGAATTTGGAAAACGTTTTGCATCTTAAATATGACATTAAGTTGTTTCATTTGTGTAAAAAGTGCAGTGTGGCTTGTCAGTGCACATGAAAACTGAACAGATTCTCTGGGTACTTTAAAACAGCTTTGTAGTCCGTATTGCACTTATTTATGCAAGGAACATCTGTCTGTGTCTCCTCCTGTTGGGTTGTTGGTTTGTTTGTCTGTTCGTCTGTTCCATGCATAACTCTTGAACCACTCATCCAACTAATCAATAAGTGTCAAACTTATGGTACAGGTGTGTGCAGTGCAAAGTTTCAAGTTGTTAGGGCAAAAAATGCGAAAGATCTGGTTTGATGTAAAGATCATCCGACAGCGACGCCCATAGCAACTTCCGGGAATAAGCTGTCTGCATTTAATATAAAACTAAGACGTCGTTTACACTAAAACGAGTCTGCGTATCACCAATGGGAAACGATCTGCATCCAGACATGTCGTCTCTGTGTCCGCAAGCCTTCCCCATCCACACAGCTTTGAGCATATTTGTTTACGTTTTACAGAAACAAAACTTAAAACGGCATGTCTAATTTGCACAAACTAAGTGCTCAAAAAACAGCTCGCTGTTGTGCGCTGATGCGGTTCAGCTTCTGTCGGACTAAAGGACATGACTCAGTGTATTATATGTGTTCTTTCTCTGACAGAGGAATGTTCTGCTGATGGTGAGTCTGTTCGGTGCTTCTATCACGTTGGAGATGGTTCATGTGAAACTTTTCAGAAATTATACGTCAGCATGTCGTACGCATAGACTGGACATATATTCTAGCCTCTTAGCATTTTGGCGGTGAATTACTTCGCAGAGTACAGACCTACATCAGTGTATCAGTGTTTTCAGGTGTCCACACAGTGCCAGATCAGATCCGTACGCAGATGAATTCGTGGGAGCTGGCAGCAGCAGATCGTTCCGTCTCTGGAGCCGTTTTCAATCGGATTAGTGAACACTGCATCTGCAACGAAAACGACTCGAATATGTACTAGTGTGGACAGGGCCAAAGGTGCTGTTTGCATGCTAGTTGTTGTTAGCAAGGACTTGATGCACAAACTTTGCTCTGACCTGTGAAAGTTGTGAATAATTAGGATGCTAGGATTGCATAAGTAAGTGAGTACACCGTGAACTGTGTAAAATGAACTAATTCTGTTTTAAGTAAGAAAAAGTCAGGTACAGCGCCTAAAACTTTAAAACTGTCTTAAATCCAGCCAAGCAGCCCCGACTTTGTGCTCCCCTCATGTACTTTCTCCTCTCTCTCCCCTCCTGCAGCATCACAGGCTCAGCAGTCTGTGCCTTCTACATGGACGACATCGAGAAGGCCTTCAGCGGCAAATTCAAGGAGCAGAGGAACAGTGAGTCTGCCTGGACCCCGGTGCCCGAGGAGCAGGTCCCCAAACCCAGGTATGAGACTTTAGAAACTTTATAGAAAATATATGAGGCCTTTTTGTGGCTTTAGTTTCCTTTTGGTCAACTTTGGGATAAGCGTTTCATAACATAAATGTCCTATATTACTCAAAATCGACTCTTGTGATCTTTAAGTCATGTTGTAATGTCGTTACCTCCTCAAAAACATACCTGGAGTTGTGTTTTGTTTCACTCATTTGCGCAGGAGCTCCCTCTGCTGTCAGCAACGGGAATGAACAATGAGAAATAAAAACAAAATTAAGCCCTTGTTGCCTTTGTTGTGAACACATTTTGACTGCAGAATGAGTTCAGTGATGCTTTATGGACTAAAACTGAGCAGGAGAAGTCCAGATTTTTACCTGTGATGTAACAATTCAGGCAAAATTGAGACTAACAATAGGTGTTAACTTCGAAACTATCTCATCAGTCACATCACAAGGTGGAATTTTGAGCTTTGGAGATAGACATCCTTTTAATTCAGGGTTGCTCAATCGTGTGAATGACTCAAAACTTAACTCTGGGTATGTTTTGGAAGGTAACAACATTCCAACATGATTAAAGAGTCAATTTTGCATAATATATGAAAATTTGGGAAAAATATCTAATTGAGATTTGAAAGAATTAGAATTGCTTTCCTAATAGGATTCTGTTGACAAAAACCCTGAAATATAAGCCAACAAATTAATACAAGAATCACATTTCAGAACATGTTTGCACAGAGCTGAAATGCAAGGTTAGAATGTTCTGTTGTGCGTGACAGATATTATGGTAAATAGCCGCCTTTTACCAGTTTTGTCCGTTCAAATCTGGATTCGACTGAGGTGAATCTTGCAGTCCTTCCCTGAATACCCGACAGAAACACGGCGCAGACATGTTTATCGTCCCCTCCGCACAAAAGAAGCGCTCCCTGGCACCTGCCCGTCCCTCCTGCCACAGTCCAGCAGCTGCCAGGGCCTTGTACATCTGCAGCAGAACAGTGAACACAGCATCGTGTGTTTACTCCTCACATGGCACAAGTGTGAGCTGTCGGGAGCAGGCTGCCAAGTGTGTGTGAAGGCGACAGGAGCAGACAGGTGACCAGTGGTTAAGAAAATGAGCAGTAAAAGAGGGGTTAGGGTCAGGACAGTGCAGTGCAGTTTGGGATGGAAGTCTGCTAGAGTCTGGATTAGAAAAGGTGGGGGGTGAAATGTTCAGTGGTCACATTTTTTATAAAGCGATTTTCCACCTTCAATCACTCAAAACGCTTTACAAAGGTGGTGTATGTAAACCAGAGCTCTCCATTCTGTAGCACAGAAGATACCAGTACCTCTCTTCTTAATGCCTGTTGCATTTGGAAATGTATTAACTTTGTGCACTAATAATTCTATTTTATTTTGACTTGTGCATTTGCATTTATATAATTACATCTTATTTCACATATGTCTCTTGCTATCTTTTTTGCTACTTATTTAGAATGTATTATTACCAATTATCTATATTTTTTTACTCTTTGTTATTATATTATATTGTGAGGTATGAGCTACTGTGTCCAAATCATTCCCCTTGTGGATCAATAAAGTTTGTTAGTCTAGTAATTAGATAATGGTTTATGTTTTACAGGCATCTAACGCTGCCGCATTTAAGGCTTGCCCTGTTTTTTACACTGATTACATTTCTTGTGGCTACAAAGACTGGTAGCTCTCTGGCATTTTTGTTTTGTAAAAGTAGCTCACCAGAGGAAAAAGGCTGGAGACCCCTGATGTAAACTGTACACTTGTTTAAAAAAGGAACTGCAATCACTGACCCTGTGTTACCAGAGCCTTAACCTGCAGATACAACACGTACAAGTTTTTGTCATTCTCAGTATTTGGACAGGCCATGCCTCATGTCTCTGAATCTCCTGAATTTTGAGCTGCAGAGGCTGCACTAGCACTGATTCATGATTGGCTGGGCTTTAGGTAGTGACCATTCAAATCAGAGAGAAGCTTTTTAGGTTTAAACACACTGAATTTCAGCATTGAAACTAACAATCCAAATGAGAGACTCACGTGAGGCTCATTCTGCTTTCTGATTGGATAATGGGATTAAGAACCAAAACACCAAATTATGAGAAGTTGACGACTTGCCCATCATGTCTAGTGTTTTTGCAATTAAGAATAAATTACATAAACTTCACATTGATATCGGTGAAAACAATATTTGATTTGATCATGTTTACTTCGTATCCAGGGACGCAGATGGGCCATGTTTATAAAGTTTGAATTACAAATACACACCCTTCCTTTGGAATTGCTTGAAATAATTATGTCCATCTTGATTTGAGTAAATTTGAGAAACAACAGCAAAAATGATTACATTTAGTCAGCTGGACGTCATCTTGCAGTGGTGGAAGAAATATTCAGTTTTGTTAAATGAAAAATAAACCCTCAGCCTTTTTGACAGTTCTCAAACTATAAAACAATATGGTGTAGAAAGTACAGATACTTGCTCTCAAATGTAGTGAAGTACAAGTAAAAAGTATCCACTTTAAAATGTATATAAGTAAAGTACAGATGCCTAAAATGTGTACTTAAAAGTGCAATGTGTAACGTTTCTGGTGGAGGATTCACCACCTGCTTTTTTCCAGATGTTACTCCTTTGTCTGGAATGTTTCACAGTATGGCATTAAACATTTCTGTCATTATGGAGACCAAACCAGACCAAGTTACAGGTCAGATCTGTGAATAGGCAACCCTGCTCACAGTCAGAATGCCTGTTTTTCTAGGTGTTTTTAAGCTATAAAACCACCTGTAATTGAAGAAATGTAAGGTAGATCTGTTTAATGTCATATTGTGGAACATTTGAAGCAGAGCAATGACAAAGGTGACAATGAGCAATGACAAGAAGGTGATGGACCCCGAACCGAAACGTTACACAGTGCTCCTTTAAGTACAGTACTTTTTTTTTTTTTTTTTTACTTTGTTACATTCCACCACTGTCCTCTTGCCTATGAAACAAGTCACATTCCACTATTGTACAACTTGACCCTATCTGGCAATTTCACGGTGTAACTTCTCAGAATGAGTGCAGAGCTTGGGGACCCTCTCAAGAACTCGCTTCATGATCGGGCCTCTTTGCATTCTGTCAGGAGAGCCAACTGCTTTGTGCCTGTATTGTAGTATAATGTAAAGTGCTTTTTACCAAACTTGAATGCATTAGTAATAATTGATGTAGTAAATCCGCTGTGTACCAGACTGCTCCCAGCGCTCTGAACATTAAATTGATGGCGCAGTCTTTATTTGTGGAGACTTGGCACGCTTATCTACAATATAATGTAGACATTTATTATCACAGGACAGAATTTGGCTTGCGATGTTTTGTTCCTTGGTTTCTTTTAATTATAATATTAGATGCAACGAAGTGCGTTTTGAATTATGACCTGATGCTTTTTTATTTTGCAAAGATTCAAATAAGCTGATGCTGCTACGACTGGTTTGGTTCACTGTGTAACTTTTTGGTCTGGTCTCCATGGAGATGTAATTGCACTGCCTGGTCTGTTCCACCTTGTGATGTCATGTGATAATACAGGAAGTGCCCCACTGTGTTTTTAAACTCCACACACCTTCATTAGAATCATTTGGATAATTTCAGTCCTGGAATTGCTAAACATACTAAACAAAAGTTAGAAGATAGCTGTTAACTTGAAAACTACCTTTTCATGACATCACAAGGTAGAACCGAGCATTTTGAGTTTTGGAGATGTAGATAGACTAATAATAAAGACTTACTCAAACATGTGTGAATGAAATAAACCACAACTCCCTATACTGTATTTTTCAGATTATAAATTACTCCAGAGTATAAATCGCACCAGCCAAAAAATGCGTAATCAAGAAGAAAAAAACATATATAAGTTGCACGGGACTATAAGTAACATTTCTTGGGTGAAATTTATTTTATAAAATCAGAGACCAGGAACCGACATTTCATCTTGAAAGGCAAGTTATAATAATATAACAACAGAATAGAGAACGACAGGTTTTTAACATAACATATTGAGAATTTTTCAGATAACTGTGGCACAAACAACATAACAAGTTTACCAAACACTCCATCTCACTCCAAATCACTAAATCCAGTGTCACTTCTGAACAACTCAGCGACATTGCTGGAATTATTCTGGCCTTCTGAATACTGACAGGATGGTTTCGATTGTCACTGAAGTTCAGGATTTGTCGATTCATCCAGTGACTTCCAGGAAAGTTGCACGACACACCCGCCCGGTTGCCGTGAAGCTGTGTTCTCCATCCTCTTTCCGCCAGTCCCTCACAAGCTCACTCCAAACTTCCTTTCTGCTGCTCGATTACAGTTTTCGGCTGAATATTTCACTATTTGCAGCAGAACAATGTCTTTTTCTGCAGGAGACATGCGCAGAAGAATGTGAAGTGACAGTGGTACAGGATTAATAGTAGTACTAGATACTTACACACAAGCCTAGAGCGCCCTCTCGCAGCTGTCATTCTGAAAATTTTAATATATAAGTCGCACCGGAGTATAAGTTGCAGGACCACCCAAACCATGAAAAAAAGTGCCACGTATAGTCCGAAAAATACAGTACTCAAACATGAGTGAATGAAACAAAACAAGTCTGAGTATGTTTTCGAGAAGGTAACACCATTCTAACATGGCTTAAAGCTCACAAGAGTCAATTTTGTGTAATATATGACCTTTAAGTGAGGAGTAACTTTGGCTCGCTGCAAACTGTTTAAAATGAACTACTTTTGTTTTTAGATCTGGTACAAAGGTGCATTGTGTAACTTCTCTGGTGGAGGATCTGTCAAATGTTTTTCTCTATGGAGATTAAATGTTGCACTTCTTCTTCTAACCGTCTTCTTCATCTCTGTGTTGTCCAGACCCGGGTGCTGTGCGGGGGAGGGCTCTGCTGCTTCGTACAAATCCTCCACCACGTTCCCCGATGACACTCTGACCTTCATCAAGTCCTACCCCCTGATGGACGAGTCTGTGCCCTCTGTCAACGACCGGCCCTACTTCACCCGCACCACCAGCAGGTACGCTTCATGTACACAAGGGAGGTGTACAGAGTGTATTGTTGTAGAAAAAAAAAAATCTATATATTTCTTGATGATAAATAATTAATCCATTTGCAAAGCCCGCTGAGTTTTTGGAATACAGACAAAGATTTATTCTTGTTACAGCAGAAATGGACAGGGCCTGCACTGGTCAGAGACCAACAGCCTCTCCTTATAGCACGCTAACAATAGTGGTGAAGAGAAGAAGAAAAGAGGTGAAGAGGTAGATGTAGAAGTAGTAGCAGTAGTAGGATTGTAGTAGTGGCAGTAGTTGTTGTAGTAGAAGTAGTAGTTGTTGTAGTGGTAGTCACTGTAGTAGTTGTAGTAGTTGTTTGTTGTAATGGTAGTTGTAATAGTAGGGGTAGTTGTAGTTGTAGTACTAGTAGTTGTTGTTGTAGTTGTAGTCGTAGTCATTGTAGTAGTCGTAGTCATTGTCGTAGTCGTAGTCATTGTAGTAGTTGTAGTCATTGTAGTAGCTGTTTGTTGTAATAGTAGTTGTAGTTGTGGTACTACTAGTAGTAGTTGTTGTTGTGGTTGTAGTCATTGTAGTAGTAGTAGTTGTTATTGTAGTTGTCGCAGTTGTAGTAGCAGTAATTTTTGTTTGACTCTTTATTTCAAACATGTATCTTCTACATATAATACAAATTAAGCAAGGCAAAGAAAGTACATTAAAAATTGTATAAATATCCTACATAAAATAAAATAAAAATGAATATTTCAGAAGTACAGTGTTGTTGTAGTAGTAGTAATTGTTGTACTTCTATTTGTTGTAGTAGTTGTTGCAGTAGTGGTGTTAATGATGGTGGTAGTAGTAGTTGTAGTAGAAATAGTAGTAGTAGTAGTAGTAGTTGTTAGTAGTAGTAGTGGTAGTAGTAGTTGTAGAAGTAGTAGTAGTAGTATGTGTTGTTGTAGTAGTAGTTGTAGTTGTAGTGGTTGTTGTAGTAGTAGTAGTAGTAGTAGTAGTAGATGTTGTTGTTGTAGTAGCAGTAGTTGTTGTTGTAGTCGTTGTAGTAATTATTGCTATAGTAGTTATTGTTGTTGTAGGAGTTGTAGTAGTAATAGTGCTGGTGGTAGTAGTACTTGTAGTAGAAGTTGTTACAGATACAGTTTGTTTCTGTGGAAAAATGTATCCTTCAAAGCCCTTTGGGGAATCTGGGCAGTAGTAGTAGCAGCAGTAGCAGTAGTTGTTGTTGTTGTACTAGTTATTGTTGTAGTCATTGTAGAAGTTGTAGTAGTCGTTGTTGCAGTAGAAGTTGTAGTAGTAGGGGTGGTAGTAGTACGATTAAAATACACTTTGTCTCTGTGGAGAAATGTGTCCTTCAAACCGCTCGGGGAAACTATAAATACCCATTATTTTAAGCTCTAAAACATAAAATACCAAAACAAAAGTCTTCAAGATAATAAAATGGTACTTTATTTAACACAGTAAGCTCCACTATATGTTCACAAACAGCCTCCACCTGCTCTGTCCTCTGTCCCTCACACACACACACACACACACACACACACACATACACACATACACACACACTCTCCTCTCACACTCTTACACTTCAGCCCAGCCTGCTCCTGCTGCCTCCTGGAGCAGAGCCAGCCTGGCAGCCCGCGCTCAGGGGACAAACACGCGCCTTCCTCTCACATCTGGCTCCAAAACCCACCGCATCTGCCGTGCCCGCCCCCCCCCTACGGGCACACTCACAAATGAAATCCATCCGGCAGCCAATCGCGACACGGCCCCAGTCGCCGCGCTCCTCTCTGTGTGGGTAAACACGCCATCCCGGCCCATCTGCCCGAAAAGGAACCGGCGACGCGAACGGGAGCGCAACCCGGAATGCCAAACATCCTCCGGCTTCATTAGAGGGAGTCTGTCGGAATTCCCCCAGACCCCGCGTCGAAATATGGCTGCCGCAAATGAGCGAACAATAAAGAAAAGTCAACAACTGTTAAGACTAGAGGTGCCCTTCAGCGCGTCGCCTAATCCCCAGCTGTTCCCCGGGAGCCTGCCGCAGAAGTCTGTGAATATGAATCAGTGCGGTGCTCAAAATGAAAGCAGAGGGTGAGAGCGAACTGGACTGCCGTGATGATACAGTGTGTGATGTGTGAAGAAGGGGGCAGTTGCTGTACGAGTTTGAAATATTGTGTGTTGTGTATTGTGTGTAATAGTATTTTGTCAACACTACTACACAAGCTCGAAGGAAGAGAGGAAGATAGAGGAAGGAATAGACTCGATACTCCATACCATTTCCAATACCACAATGATAATAAAAACACTCTTTAATTAGACAATAGAATGTCATTTTCAACATTAAATCCTAATTCTTTCATTTATATTAGGGTGACTGTCAGAAAAAGCTCCAATACTGCACATTTTTTGAGGTATCTGTATTCTGCAAGGTATCGGCATGTACTCAGCCCAAATCACCGATCCGATACCACTCTGTATTTTCCACAAAGAAGACCTCACGTCCACTGTTTACATTGGTGGAATAATAATATATGTATCTATGTAATACTACTGCAAATGCTCAGAGTAGGTTAAATGCAGACTAGAGAGCAGACATGTCAAACTCAGGCTCAGGGACCAAATTTGGCCCGCAGTATAATTATATTTGGCCCATGAGATCATATCAAATATGTATTAGAGCTGGTTCGCCGACTACAGATAGACTATAGAGACAATATTGTTATTATTTTATATTCTGCTTGTTCTGGATTCAATGTTTAAGTAAAACTATTATTAAACATTTATTTTAGTAAGAAAAGGTTTAACATTACATATCTCAAAAGAAGAGAAAACATGCAGATGTTGTTGAAATTTTCAATAAATATTTAGTTTGGCCCACAACTTGGTCCCAGTTTTTAATTTTGTCCCTCTGTGAATTTTGAGTTTGACACCTCTGGTCTAGATGTTCTACAGACTCTTACATGACTCTAACATGCTGATAATAACAGAAAAAACATTTGCGTTGCCTTTGATGCTTTCATTTAGCCTTTAGTGTGGACGCTCAACTTAGTAGAAAAACTGCGCTACAGAGAGTGCAGAGCAATAGCAACAGCAACAGCAACAGCGCTAACTTAGACTTTGTTTACTCTGCAGGCCTCACTGTTTTTATCCATGCACTATGGTAGAAAGAGACACGGCAAGTAAGTGCTTAAATCAGCACCACTTATGGTCAAAATCATTATAAATTTGACTCAAAATCTAATTTATTCTATTGATTTCTTTAGAGATAAACTTTTTGTAGATTTAACTTTTGCTCTTGTAATGTAACAAAATAGAGCAGCCTTAGTCTACTTCTTTACACTATGTGGTATTGGACTGGTATTGGTATTGGTGAGTACACTAAAGCCAAGTATTGGTTTTGGATCTGATCCCAAAAAAATGGTATTTGAACAACACAAATTTATATTCCCATGTGGCCTTATATGTGTGTAATAGTGTTATAACTTTTTTACAACCTCTATACCCTGTATCATATTTTGATGAACTTTTGCTAGTAATGAAAGGAATTGACCTTCAGTTGGTCATATTTTTGAAAAAAGTCCCCCCGGACTCAAAATGAAGTTTTCGTAAAGCCGACCAACAACCAGAATCAAACCGTTAGAAGGTTAATATCTGTTCAATCATAAAATAACCAAAGGCAATGTTTCTCTTTAATAACACAGGAACAAAACACATCATCAGGGTAAAGATCATATAAAATAGGCCAGTAAAAGTCAAGAAATGATGAAACGTTCCTCTTGTCCTCACATGTGGCATGAATTTCCTGCATCACTTTGATTGCTCGTTCACAGCATTGGTTACTGCGTGGGATATCAACTCTTGATGGCTCTTGCTTTCAATGTCTTCTGAGACACACCCCAGTGCTGATTGGTCGGGCGCTTAAGCCTCCTCTAACTCAGCAAAGTCGGCTACACGGAACTTCTGCTCTGAGAACCATCAGTCGGCTCATGCAGTGCAAATGAAGAGACAAACTCACTTCAGCCTACACCTTGCATCTGCCATGAGTATGAAGGCAAGAATAGCAAGGATGGCTCTTGAATTCCAACGAGCATTGCTGATGTTGGGGATTTTTTAAAACTCATAACCAACATATTATTGATCCATTTTCAGTCAAATTGACTTGTTATGGCCCTTGTGATAACTTAGCACGGTTTCGCATTTCATATCATTGGCTGTAATGTGTATTTAATATTTTTTTTGTTTTGGGGGGACTTTTTTAAAAAAAGTGTTGTCTTCAATTATACCAAAAAGTTCATCCAATCATGATACAGGACTTTGATTTTGGAAAAAAAGTTCAAAAAGTTATAACCCTAGTCAGTAATCCCTCAGTGGTCCATGGACGTGTACACTAGTCTGTGTGCTCTTACACTTGTTCTGATACAGCTCAACATCATTCTAAACACATTCAACAAAAGTTCATGTGTTTGTCCAGTGAGTGTGACTTTTTTAGTATTGATACCTGCTCAAGTGAGCATCTAGTTTTGTTACTACTTTAGTATTTAGATGAACACTTGCTCTGTTTACATGCACACTACAAATCTGACTATTATCTGATTTCTGGAGTTATCAGATTATTGAAATGCCGTGTCAGCATCTCTGCATCTCACATCTCTGCAGGTTTTTTTTTTTTTTGCAGGTGATTATGCAGTCATGGGGCAAACGAATGTGACAAAGACAAAAAGTAAAGAGAAAAAGCAAAAGATTGAAAGAGATATTTTAGAATTAAATTTCTTTTGTGCATGTAAACACAGATCCAATTATTGAGTTATCTGATTATTCTAGTTATCTGATTTCACTGGCTGATTTCACATGTCCTTCACGGATGAAATGGAGTGGAGTCGTATTTCTAGAGTTTTTAAATTTTTGTAAGCTGGAATATTACTGCCATTAAAGGTGCATTGGAGGGTCTGTCACTTGCTTGTCTCCATGGAAATGTTATTGCTTTATCTGGAATGTTCCACAGTATGACATTAAACAGCTCTACCTTACATTTATTCAATTACAGGTGGTTTTATAGCTCAAAAATATCTACAAAAACAGAGATTCTCACTGTGGACGGGGTTGACTCTCCACGGATCTGACCCGTAACTTGGTCTGGTTTGATCTCCATAAAGATAGAAAGGTTTAATGCCTTACTGTGGAACATTCTCGACAAAGCAATAACATCTCCATGCAAAAAAAAAAAGACCATTTGACGGACCCTCCACCAGAAAAATGACACAGTGCACCTTTACATGCCACCGACTAGTTTACAGTGTGTAGTATACAAGTGTTTTTTTCAACCTGCACCAAGTTATTTAAAAAAAAAAAAAAGATAAAATCACCACTTGACCCCAACACAATATCTGAATTCAATATTTTTTTCTCTCATATGCTTGAGTAAATTCCAGGCATATTGCAAATATATAAGCAACTTTTGAGGTCAAAATACTGTAAGTCCGCTGCATACCGTCTGCGTTATGAAGCGTTTTATTTTCTGATAATCAGGAAGTGTGTATTAGAATTAAGGATGGGCATGATAAGTCGATTAATCGATAATTGATCATTAAGAATTTCATCGATTACGTTCATTTTAATCGACAAACCGAATGTAGGTTGCTGTGTGTAGTATGAACAAACAGGTCTGTACATGTGTCTCTCTGCACTCAGAAGGAGCGAGACACAAACAGTGGGTCAGTCTGCAGCGTACCGAAGCACAAATGCGTATTTAACGATGATTTGTACAAGAAGTTCCACGCATTCTGTTGCGTTCGGGACAAATGGGAGGTCATGTGCACAGTGTACAAAGCAGCACATATGTTTCGGTGTCGAGTGGGAAAAAGTTTTACCAGGTGAGAGTCGCTCAATGTTGATGACGAGGACCCACCTCCCTCCCCCCGTACGGTGTCCTGGTTTTGACAAACACAAATATGGTCACACTAACCTGTATTCACCTGAGTCATGTCCTTTAATCCGACAGAAATTGAACCACATCAGTGCACAAGAGCTGTAGTTTATCTTCACTTAGTCTATGCAAATTAGTGATGCGGTTTTAAGTTTCGTTTCTGTGAGAGTTACGCAAAACTGAATGAAACACATTATAATGTCAAACGGACTGATGTGGTTACAGTTTATTTGTCGTAAAGTTGAATTTATTTATGCAGATTAGTAGTGCAGATAGTAATAATAATGATGATCATTTTAATATAAAAACATTAATGATTAATCGATAATCGATCGTTAATTCTTCCGACGATCGATTAAGAAAATTTCATCGAATGCCCATCCCTAATTAGAATGCTAGTTGTAGTTAGAACTCCTGTTTCACTGTTAGGTGAAAGCTGAGAAAAGCCCTTATAAACTCATCGTGGTGAACTATTAGGCCGCTCAGAATGCATAAACTAAGTGAGGAAGAACTTTGGAAAAACTGAAAACTGTTTACTCTTGAAAACCTGGAGTGTCCAGCAGTGTCCAGACTTAAACCGCATGGAGCTGGTTTGGGATGAACTGGACAGAAGAGTGAAGCAACCTACAAGTGCCACACATTTATGGAAACTTCTGCAACAGACTTGGGAAGAACTTTCAGAAGAATATTTGATTTCTATCGTAAAAAGAACGAGCCACGAGTGTGTTCAGCTGTTCTATCTGCAAAAAGGTGGACACTTTCATGAATCAAAACTTTAGAATACATTTTGGTCAACAGTAAACGGTAAAAAACTAGAAAAAGTGTGGTGTCCTAAAACTTTTGACCAGTAAACTGACAGCGCCTTTTAAAAATCCAAACAATATTTTCCAGACTTGAGTTTTACCATGAACCGTAATATTTAAATCTAACTTCTTCTTTTGTCTCTCCTCCAGGTTTAAGTTGACTCAGATCGCCGTGGACACCGCCGCCGGCCCGTACAAAAACTACACGGTCATGTTCCTGGGCTCGGACAACGGTCACGTGCTGAAGATCCTGGCCAGTACTCAGGGCTCCAACACCAGCTTCAACACACAGCTCCTGGAGGACATGGACATCTACAACCCCGACAAGTATGTTCCTCCTCTCCTCTACCTCACCTCTCTTCTTTCTCTCTCTCCTCTCTATTCTTCTCTCTCTCTCCACTCTTCAGATTTGTTTTCATTTCAAGTGCGCTCGTCTAAGATCTGTCTTTACTGTTTAATATGTCTCTCTCTCTTCTCTCCTGTTTCTCTTCTCTCTCTCTTCTACGCTGCCCTTTCTCCACCCCTTTTTTTCCTCATTCATTTCTTCTCACTCCTCTCGCTCATCCCTCAGCTCTCTCTCTGTTTATTATTTCTCTCCTATCCTTTCTTCCTCTCTCTCTCCTCTCTCTTCTCTGCTCCTGTCTCTTCTCTCTCGCCTTTTCCCTCTTTCTCTCTGCTCTCTCTCCTCCCATTTCCTCTGTCCTCTCCCCATTCTATCTCCTCTCTCTCACTTCTGTTCTCTCTGTCTTTCACTGTTCTCCTCTCCTTTCTTCTCTGCTTTTCTCTCCCTCCATCTCCTCTCTCTTCTCCTCCTCCCTCTCTCCTCTCCTTCTCTCTGTGTCTCTCTCCTCACCTTCTCTTTTCTCTCCTCACTCTCTTACTCATCTCTCTCTTTTCCACTTACTCTCTCTCTCTTCTCTCTCCTTTCTCTCTCTTTTTCTCCTTTCACTCCTTTCTCTCATCACTTTGCTCTCTCTGTTTATTCTTTCTCTTCTACCCTTTCTTCTTCTCTCTCTCTCATTTCTCTTCTCTGCTCTTGTCTCTTCTGTCTCGCCTTTTCCCTCTCTTTCTCTCTCCTCTGTCCCCTCCTTTCCTCTGTCCTCTCCTCTCCCCTATTCTCTCTCTTCTCTCTCACTTCTGTTCTTTCTTTCTTTCTCTCTCTGTCTTTCACCTTTCCCTTTTTGCTGTCTCTCTTCTTCTCTGTTCTTCTTCTCTTCTCTCCTCGCTCTCTCGCTCATCTCTCTCCTTTTTCTTCCTCTCCCTCTTTTCCTCTCCTCACTCCTTTTCCCCTGTCTCTTCTTTCTCTCCCTTTCCCTCTATTTCCCTCTCCTCTCTCTTCTCTGCCCCCCTTCTCTCCTCTCTCCTTTCTCTCTCTTCTTCCCTCATTAATTTCTTCTCACTCTATTTATTCTTTCTATCCTGTCCTTTCTTCCTCTCTCTCCTCCTCTTTCTCCTTCTCCGTCCCCCCTTTCCTCTGTCCTCTCCTGTTCCCTATTCTTTCTCCTCCTCTCTGTCCTCCACCTCTTTCTCTTCCTCCTCTCCTTCTCTCCTCTCCCTCCCTCTGTCCGGCCGGTCACATGTAGTGTATTATTTCTCCTTCTTGCCCTTTCCTCCGTACACGGGGCTTTATTGCGGCTTTAGTGTGGACTTGTTTTTCCAGTCGAGCGCTCGTGCTTTGATTTGTGCCGCTGTGCTCCGCTCCACTCTCTCTGCAGCCAAAAGACGCCTTTAAGTGCATCTTTTGTTTTGAAAATGTTACCTTTACAAATGTTCCAACTACTTCTATTCACAAACCTGATTTAAGGACGGACTTGTGGAGATTTACTACCTTATTAAACCTAGACTATATGGCTTATTTAAATATTATAATCATAATGCATTAGTCTTTTATGTAAGACTAAAGCTTTTCTAGAAGCTCTATGTCGCTTTACGATTTCATGCATTATTCATTTGAACATCTACATTAAACTGGCACTAAATCCAAAAACGAAATCCTGCGCTAAAAACCGGAAGGAATTAAACTTGGAACTAAACTCAGAACTGATGATCAACCAAGAGCAAAGCCAGGACAAGTTTCTCCCTTAAGGTCGCTACACACTACAGGATTTTTCAGTCTTAAACAATTTTTAAACGTGCAAAAAAAAAAGTGCACACCACAGATACGAGGAAAATCTGATGAGGTTTTAAATCTCCAATCGCAAAGATACAGCGGGATCTGTCTGCGGACTACAGGATATAACATTGTGAGAGTAAATTGACTTGTTTAAGACTCTTTAAGTGTTCAAAAGATCAGAGCATTGCACTTCTAGTTTAGATACAAGTCAAAACTTCAGATACAGGATTTTTAAAACATAAATATAATTCGTGCGCTGTGTGGATGTAAACAGACACACATGAGGAACTACTCCCACCTTTTTACTTTTAAAGCACGCCTCAAACTGGATTAATAGTGTTGTTTTGTGGACTGGATGGCATTATTTGCAGAAAACAAATTCTATGGATAATGCGGTGGAGATGTTGTACTTTAAATTTACAAGTAGAGGTTTGTGCGGGATAGAATTTTCAGTCCCGCTCCCGCCCACTTCTGCATTGTGGAGTCCTTTGCTCCCGCAAAGAATTCTAATTTTCATTCCTGCTCCCACCCGCATCTGCGATACTTTGTCCCGCTTCCGCCTATAACTCCTGCAAGATGGGAACGTTCGCTTTCTTAAGCTCTATCAAACACGGAGAACCAGAAAGGAATTGTCTAAAATGTGTGCGAGATTAGACCTTAAAATGTTATGTATGATTCATAACATTCATTCATCATTTGTATATTTTACTTTACACTCATATTTAGTTTGCGGGAGCTGCAGTTTATCATTCTACCCGCCCACTCCGGCATTATGCAGTCCCGCTCCCGCCCATGCCCGCAATGAGCTTTCAAAATGTGTCCCGCGCTGCACTGTTTTGCTTCGAGTCCCGTCGAGACTGCAGGGCTCTATTTGCAGCTTTAGGAGAGGTGAATAATAACAGTCCTCATTATTTTCACTATTTACTATTTTATTTACTTCACTATTTATCTTGCGCCTCTGTGTCCGTCACTCCTCTGCCCCTGACGCTCTGTTTTATTTTCTGTTGCTGTAGCGTTACTGATTTTTGGTGTGTACGATGTGACAGAGCAGCTCAGAGTCACACTGACACCACAAACACGAGGAGCACAGCGGCGTCAAAAAACCCCACAAAGACTAAAATCGGGTTATTCTTCCAAACCAAATTCGGGGAGAAGCAAATCGCAGCCAAAATCGAGCAAATTCTCTTATAGCCTCTAGAGTATACTGTCAAAGCAATCCTTACTGACTAAATGAGATGATTTTTTTTTTTTTTTTTCAACTCAACTCAACTCAACTCAGAAGTAAGCACCAAAGCAGTGCTCTGATTGACTGCACTCGGGCTGTCCATCCTGGTTTCACTTTCACTGTCTGACAAAGGTATTCTAAAGGGTTTGTGCCAACTAGGGGTAAATTGGACAGAGTTAAAAACAGCTACTACTTTGTCTTTTCGTGGAGTGAAAATCCAGCTGTAAGACTGAAGACTTCACAAACTAGGGGAGCATTTAGGTTACGTTCAGCCTGCAGCCTGAAGTGACCCAAATCAGATTTTTTGGCCCGTATGTGACCTGTATCTGATCTTTTAATGACAGTCTGAACGACACAGATCTGATTTTTTCAAATGCGACCAAGGCCACTTCGATATGTGCTCCTAAAACTGATGCATATCTGATCTTTTGACATGCAACTTCAGTCTGAATGTCCAAAGTGCATTCATCCGACCTACACGTTATCAACAAGCCACAAACGTCACTATTCTGCGCTGAAGTAGGTGAAAATTGTTAATGAACTCCGTGTTACTGAAGTGAAAACGCACTGAAGCACAAATGCGTATTTAACGATGACTTGTACAAGAAATTCCAAGCTTTCCGTTGCGTTCGGGACAAGTGTGAGTCCATGTGCACAGTGTATAAAGCAGCACAGATGATTCTGTGTCCAGTGGGAAAAAGGTTTTACCAGGTGAGAGTCGCGCAATGTCGATGACGAGTCCCCGCCTCCCTCCCCCCGTACGCTGTCCTGGTTTTGACAAACAGAAATCTGGTCACACTAACCTGTATTCCACTGAGTCATGTCTTTTAATCCGACAGAAATTGACCGCATCAGCGACACAAGAGCTGTAGTTTTATCTTCGCTTATTTTATGCAAATTAGCGATGCAGTTTTAAGTTTTGTTTCTGTGAGAGTTGCACAAAACTGCATTAAACACATTATAATGTCAAACGGGCTGATGTGGCTCTAGAGTCGTTACAGTTTATATGTCGTGAAGTTGAATTTATTTATGCAGATTAGTAGTGCAGATAGTAATAATAATGATGATCATTTTTATATAAAAACGTTAATGACTTAATTGATAATCGAAGAAAATTTCATCGAATGCCCATCCCTAGTCTCCAGTGCACATGCGGGACACTTTTGGGCCGTTTAATGTTCACACTGGAGTCACATACAAGTCACATTTAATTGGAAATGTGAACGACCTCGCAAAAACATTGGATTTCACAAAAAAATCTGAATTGAGCGTTAAGCCCTGCAGTCTGAACGTAGCCTTAGTTGTCTTCCAAAGCGGTTCAGAATGCTTTTGTAAACATTTTAGACTAACACAGAAATCAAACACAATGCACGTTGACAGTTTAATATCTTACTGATGTGTTTGTTTGTTTTTTCTTTCTTCAGGTGTACGGTGCGTGGAGACGAGCGGCGCGTCCCCGGAGAGGAGAGGCGTGTCCTGGGCCTGGAGCTGGACCGGGACCATCACGCTCTGTTTGTGGCCTTCTCCGGATGTGTGATCAGAGTCCCCCTGAGCCGCTGCGCAGACTACAGCACCTGCAAGAAGTCAGTGCACTCCAAGTCTAAGAGCTGTCTGTTTTCATTTGTCTCTCTTCATCTCCTCTTTCTCCTCTCCCCGCTCTCATCCCTTCACTCGCTTTCCTCTTTCCTCTCTCCTTACTTTCTAATCTGTCCTCCCATCCCTTCACTCTTTCCTCTGTCCTCTCTCCTTACTTTCTCTCTCATCCCTTCTCTTCACTCTTGTCTCTCACCTCTTCTCTCTCCTCTGTCTCTCCCATCTTTTCTCTCTCTCCCCTCTTTTCTCTCCTCTCTCTCTCCATCTTCTCTCTCTAACCTCTTCTCTCTCCTCTGTCTCTCCCATCTTCTCTCTCCTCTGTCTCTCCCATCTTCTCTCTCTCTCTCTCTCACCTCTTCTCTCTCCTCCTCTTTCTTTCAAGAAGTCAATGCCATTTCTCTGTTTCTCCTCTCCCCCCTCTCATCGCTCCACTCTTTCTTCTCTCCTCTTTCTTCTCTCCTCCTTCCTCCCTTCTCTCTACTCGTCTCTGTCTCTTCTCTCTCTCCTTTTTTTCCCCTTTTTCGCTATCTACTATCTCCTTTCTCTGTTCTCCCTCTCCTCTCTGTCTCCGCTCATCTCTCTCCTCTCTTTTAAGTTTTTTTCTTTTTCTTTCAAGTAAGTCAGTGCCTCTCCTCTCCTCTCTCTGATCTTTTTTCCACTCCTCTTTGTCTCTTCTCTTTCTCCCTTTCCCCTTCTTTCTTTACCTCCTCTCTCCCCCTCTCTTCTTTCTCTGCTCTCACTCTCCTCTTTTCTCTCCTCTCTAAGTTTTTTTTTTCTTTCAAGAAGTCTAAGCTCTGTCTTTACTATTTCAATTTGTCTCACCTTCTTTCTTCTCACCTGTTCTCATCCCTCCACTCTCTCTCCTCTCTTCTTTTTTTCTTCTCTTCGGTCTCATCCCTTCACCCAACTCCGCTGTCTCTTCTCTCTCTCCTTTTCCCCCTCTCTCCTTTTCTCTTATCTCTTCCCTGTCTCTTCTTTCTCTCTTCTCCCTTTCCTCTCCTGTTCTCTCTCCTCTAAGTTTTTTTTCTTTCAAGAAGTCAGTGCACTCGTCTAAGATCCGTCTTTACATTTACAAACATTTAGAGACATACTATGCTTTTGTTATCTGATACTTAGCGTTGAACTAGTTACACATAAGAAAAGGGGGAAAAAAACAACATAAAGGACTTTGAAATAGTGTGGCTTGTCACACAATCAACATTTGAAGCACCAAACTTATTTATCCCAGATAAAAGAAGTTGCATATTTTATTCTGAATGTGCAAGAGGAGACATTTCTCTGATTTTTTTTAACTGCAATTTTGCAATTTTTTAAAGCGTATGAATGCGTATTGTGTATTACAGGCTGGTAGTAATTACACACGGGTGGGTCAGGACTAAACCAGGTCTAAACCAGGACTAATCTCTTAAACAAAATTTGGATGTTTAACTGTGAAAGCCGGTCCTTTCTCCTGGTCAAAAATGTTTCAGAATAAGTCCTCCTCTTCAAGGAAGTCTTGGTTCAAAGCGCAAAAGTATATACAAGGCAGGTGCGGTCCTGTCTGCGCGGGTGCAGTGTTGTACAGTCAAGCAACTCTGCTGGAATAAATGAATCTTCAGTTTGTTACATAAAGAAGGAGGAAAATAACACAAGGACGACAGCAGCAACAAGTTTTAAGAAGGAAGTAAAAAGGGTTGCACCTGTCCTGTCTAAGAAAAGTGTATAAAGTTTGTGCTGAGGGGTTTTACAGCCTTAACACAGATAGAATAATTGTAAAATATAAAGTTGACTACTTGGCAGATTTCACCTATCGTGGGTTATATTTAGAACTTAACCCCCACGATAAACGAGGGACACTGTACTCTCACCTCACAACCTGTGCACATGGACTCACACTTGTCCCGACCGGGACGGAAAAAGGAGAATTTCTTGTACAAGTCATTGTTAAATGCACATTTGTGCTTCGGTATGTTGCAGACTGACCGACTGTTTGTGACTCGCTCCTTCTGAGTCACAGACGCTACGAGAGACGCTCAGTTTAATGCCCCCAGTGAACGGTAATGAAAACCCGGACATTTGCATCACTTAATAAAAAAAAAAACCGGACGCCCCGGACATGACGCAAAATACGGACATGTCCAGGAAAAAACGGACGTTTGGTGACCCTAAATAAACAGAAACGATACAGGAAAGATCAGCACAGTGAATCAAAAAGATATTGACTAAATGCTTGAAGGGTCTTGCCAAAGGGCACAAAAAGCCTAAATTGAAAGTAAACAGCAAACTTTAGTAATGCCCTCAAGCCTGTCCAAAACTGTAAATGTCAAATAGCTTTAGTGTCCATGTTTATTACAAATGAGAAGTTTGTTCCCATATTACATAAAGCCGTTTCCATGGCAGCCTGAGCGTCTCTACTTCGCCCACACTTCTGGATTAGGGGCAAAGCCTGGTGTACAGAAATTACAGCATATTAAATTGAAATGAGTAAAGACACTGCTAATCCCTGCATGTTCTTAACGCGTTTAAGAAGAAAACGCGGCTTCATTTGCTGCCAATTCCTAAATGTGCCCACTCATCCTGCGCTTACGGCCCTGGACCGAAGCCTGGAGCTGTAATCTGGACCGTTTGTCCATTGGGCTGCTTCCATTTTGACAAAAAGTGGTCCCTCCGTCTTTCTCCTGGAGATATGGCGTTGGGAGGTGATAAGTGGCAAAGTGACTAAAGGTTCGATCGCTTTAAAAGAGTTGAAAGAGCCTTGTGTTACACTATTTTCTCATCTATGATATAATGTTGTTTCCTCATCACAAACAGACCTGGATGAGGATTTTGATGATGTAACAGCATTATAATCAGTGCTGCTTGATTATGGAAAAAAATCACCACAATTTTTCACAAAGATTATTCAAACGATTATTTTTTTAGTTATGCAATACATTTATTCTAGCCTGATTCATCAGCCGTTTTCACTTTGTAGAAACCGTCTGAACTCGCAGTGTTAGAATTTGTTCGCTCAACTGTAGGCAGGTGCTTTTTATCATTTAACCAATTTCTGCTATTTGGTCGTTGACGTATGTAATGTGTCACTAACGGGTATAACTGGTATATTAAGCTTTTCCCAAATCCTGTAGGAAGAAGGGCAATAACGTCTTTCCCCTTGACAAAATTCACCAAACATTCTCTTTGTTCCAGCTTTAAATTGTCGATCTCGGGAATCGTTGACAACACAGAATGTCTGACTCTTCACTGATTGGTTGGTGCCCAGATTTGCACTTCCGGGATTTTTGCAAACCGTTTAGTGTATTCTGATTCTTGACCTAGATGCTGGAGAGAAATGAAATTGAACTAGAAACTAGGAAATGAAACTGAACTAGGAATTGAAACTAGGACTTTAAAATTGTGCCGATTGCTGTGGGACTGGGCCACGGCCGATGACGTCATCACACGGCAGCAGAGCTAATGCTTTAGTGGAGAAAATAAGTCCAGCGGCATAAATATCGATGAAATAGTGAGGCAGATATGAGTCCTGCTGTGATACATTCCTCTGTGAGCTTATGGTTATATTCGGTATTGTAGCTTCACATTACGCACATTACAGGACACCAAGCGCTTGCGGGAGCACCATGTGAATCCTCGCAAAACTACGATCGCCATGCCCCGGTCCTCACTTTCACCGGCACGTAAATTGTTTCTACTCAATTATATGAATTTGGAGATCATTTGACATACAAATCGAAATCACGATCAAAATTCAGTTACCATATTTTTCGGACTATAAGTTGCAAGTTTTTTCATGGTTTGGGTGGCCCTGCTGACTGCTACTTTGGTGCGACTTATATATTAAAATTTTCACACTGACAGCCTCTAGAGGGCGCTCTTGTCTTGTGTGTCAGTTTTCTGCGCATGTCTCCTGCTAAAAAAAGCCACTGTCCTGCTGCAAGTAGTGAAATCTGCAGCAGAAAACGGTAATCGAGCAGCAGAAAGAAAGTTTGGAGTGAGTGAGAAACTTGTGAGGGACTGGCAGAAAGCGGGGATGGAAAACACAGCTTCACGGCAACCGGGAGGGGGCAACATGCAACTTTCCTGGAAGTTACTGGATAGATTGACAAAACCTGAACTTCAGTGACAACCGAAGCTGCACAGAGATGCTCAGAAGTGACACCGAAGACGAAGAATTCAGTGGAGTCAATGGATTTAGTGATTTGGAGTGAGATGGAGAGTTTGGTAAACTTATGTACTGTGGTTTATGCTATAGTCATCTAAATAATTATTAATGTTTTACATTGTTATTACTATAACTTGCCTTTCAAGATGAAATGTCAGTTCCTGGTTTCTGATTTTATTAAATGAATTTCCCCCAAAAAGTACCACTTATAGTCCGGTGTGACTTATATGTTTTTTTCTTCTTCATTACACATTTTTTGGCTGGTGCAACTTATACTTTGGAACCACTTATAGTCCAAAACATATGGTAATTGCACATTCTTAATTATAATAACTTAAATCTCTCAAGAGTCAATTTTGCATCATATAAGACTTTAAACATCAAGACCATCAACATCTCAACACAACGTACATCAAGATTTGAGAAAATGAGACTGCATTAAAATCCTTTCTGTGCTTTTAAATCTGCCATTTCTAAATCTGAAGTTTGTCTGATGTGACGTTGAGTTAAAGTTTCTTATCACTGGAAAGTAGACTCGAGTAAATCCCGGCCATGTGTGAGTTATTTCGGAGTAATAATATTTGGACACTTCCATAAAATGTAAAATACGAGTACGGAGGTTAGTCCGGGAGTTATCCAGAGGGCTTAGACTGTGTATATCTTGTGCTAGGACTAAAGCAGCTGTCTGCTTAAAACGTGACACTGATCCAACGTCGTTCAAATCCTGCTCCTCGTCCGTGCACTGCAAAAAAAAAACCCAAAAATGCAAAAAAGTTAGTTAGCATTGTTTTATTTTATTATTATTATTTTAGGTGGTACACTCAAAATAAGAGAAGTTGACCCTGATTA